ATGAACAGCAACGAGTGTTTTTGCTTGGACATGGTAAAATAAAAAAGAAGAGCTAAGACTAGGCCAGCCCAATCCATATATGCAAGATACATATTTGATGGTTTGGGCCTAATGGCGACATAAGTTTCAAGAGAGAGGGTATTGTTTATCTTATTTGATTTCTCAAGTAGAAGAAATTGTAGAAAAGCAAATTAAGCAGTATAGAAATTAGAAATAGAGGGAGAGTTTTTGTGGACATTGATGCAGAATCTGGGGCTAAAATACAAAAGTGAGATTAGGAAGACGTGAAAGGTGAAAAAACACCCCAAATTGCTAACATCATCTCACTTCGAGTAACACAAACCTTGATACCTAAATGACACATGCTACCCGACAACCAACTCCAATCCCCAATATACGACACCGTATCTATTCATTTTCCTTCCTCTCAGATCCCATTTCCCAACACACTGGTTCCATCACTATTTTACTCACTTTTTAAATTCAATTATACTATTCTTTTTTTTTTTTTTACAACACAATTTTTCTGTTAATTTTAAGTAAAATTATTTTTTTCCCTAAATATTTTTTATTTTTTTTATTATATTTTTTTTTCATCTTTTACATTTTAAATGACTCATTTATTATTTTAACTTTTAAATTTGACTTAGTGTTATCTTTTTAAATTTTTGAGTGCGATTTTGAACATTTATTTTTTTATTCAAACCATGAATTTTGTCTCATAAAAAACACTTATATTAAAGCTATGGAGTCCAACTATTATTTGAACAAAAGAAGTTGAAAACATGATAGAAATTATGTGAAAAGGGAACTCTGAGCAATTGAAAAAACTAAAAGTTTTCACAACAAGTTATTTTTCGGTTAATTGGGATACTCACTTTTCATTTAATTTTTCACTATGTACCAGAATCCAAAATGGTCATTATTGCATAAATCCAACAACGAATTTTTATAATAAGATAAAAGGACTTAAAAATGTATTTTAATCAATTTTTTCATAATACTTTTGTTTTTCTAATCATCCTAATTTTATATAAAATAAATATAAAATAAAAATATATTCAAGGTCTTAAACATTAAAAAAATTAATATTTTTTTCACTTAGAAAGTAAAAGATTTGTAATTAGAAGTAAGAAAGTTTAAAATGATTTTTTTGAACATTGTCCTACGGTGACGAAAAAAACATCTTGAATAAAAATGAAAATGAAAATTTCATATTTGAATGAAGAAAATAAAATATCAGGTATACTTTATTGAATTGGTGTTAGTTAAAATAAATGAGTATAAAAAATTTCTACTTTCAAAAGTGTAAATAATTTTTATACCATAATCATCTATAAGGTTATTGAATGAGAATACTTGCTTTTATAAGAATAATTAATAATAATTTTTTAAATTTAAATAAAAAGATTCATATTAAAATATTATATTTAGTGATAAGAGGTTAGATTAATATGTGCAACATGTTCAAATTTAATTGCTATCATTGTAATTTTTAAAGATAAAAAAAATAATTATAAATAAAATCAATTTGTGTTACTATCATCGTAGTTATCTTTATTATTGTCATTGTTATTATTCTCATTGCAAGCGTCCTACTACTATCATGTCTCAACTATTATTGTTGTTGTTGAAGACAAAAGAGGTGGTTAATAATGGTGTTTGACAATAGAAATTAAGATATTTGGTAATTTGTGATAGCTTTATTTTAACTTTTCATTGAGAAAAACTCGAGTCTCGACTTATTATAAATCATTAAAAATAGTCACTCACTATTTATCTATGTACCAAACCCAATAATATTAGACATGAGAGAGGTATATTAAAAAAATTTAAGTCTCACATTAATTAGAGATAAAAAAGTATATAAGTGGTGGGTAAACCTTACCTTACACGTCATTTTTGTAAGATTGAGTTAAGCTTAAACTCACTTTCTAATATGGTTTTAGAATTATCTAGATCCACTTTAAATGAGTCACTTACCAATGATACATGTATCAAACTTAATGATGTTGAACATGATAATTATCTATAATAAAGCATCTCCAAGAAAGTTAAATAATAACTATATATAATTTGTATTTTTCTTAAGGATCTTATTTTAAGTATCTCAATTAATATTCTAAAAAATTATATCTCTTAAATAATTAATTGATATATATTTAAACTGTAACATTTTAAAGAAAATATTAATTTGTATGTATTGCCTCACACGTAAGAATGGCAAAATTACACCCGTACCCGCGGGTAATACCCGAACCCGTCCCGACTTTGATGGGGAATACCCGGTTTGACCAGGTAAAGGTACGGGTAAAATTCGATACTTTAAATCGGGTACGGGTACGGGTATGGGTATGTACTTACCTGCCCCGTACCCGTACCCGTCCCCGTTTCTATTTTTAATTTAATACTCATCTTCAATTTAATTATATTAAAGAATTTTAATATTTTTTTATATGTGATTATTTATTATAATATGAGATAGAGAAATAACTTAATTATAATTATAACATAATAAAAAAAATAATTTAAAAATATCATATTTTTTATAAAAAATAAAAAATAAAAAATAAAAAAATTAACGGGTACGGATACGGGTACGGGTATACCCGATACTCGACGGGGACAGAGATGAGAATGGGAATGAAAATCACATACCTGACGGGTACGGGAACGGAAATAAATTTAACTCGCAGGAACGGGGACGGATATCATGAAACCCACACGCCACCAATAACAAAACCAAATTTAGAATTATTCCTCATAAATTCAGTTATAAAAAGTAACCATTTCTCTTTAAAACACAATAAATCTTTAATGCATCTGTAAGGCAGACGATTGTTTTTATAAGCTATCATGAATCGATAATAATAATTATTTTTATTCATCGTACTTACAATGAAAATACATAGAATTAAATGTAAAACTTTATACATATTACTTGAATTTCTATTATTAGTTCAATCTTAATAGTTATAATGATTAAAAAAATGAATTTTGAAAAAAATAATTGTAAAATTTATTTTTTTAATATATTTTTTATTTAAAAGAATCGAGTTTGGTATTATTATTCGGATTAACCACATTGTGTAAAATTTATATTTGATTCCAGTTAACTTGTATTTTAAGAAGATCAGCTAAAAATTAATAACAAAGCACCTTTTTAAGTTTAAATATGTTAAAAATTAGGATAAGAATGCTTGAACAGTTAGTGTTTTTAACGAGTTACTTCCTCCGTTTTTTATTCATAGTCGTTTAAGATTTTGCACGGAACTTAAGGAAATGATTGATATTTTAGTTTTCAAAAATATTTATTATTTACTTTCCTATTCTACCCTCTATTTTTTTTATAGTATTTCGTTGGAAACATATTACCCTTTTAAATGTAACATTAACTTTATATAGGTAGTTAAAAAAAAATAAGTAGACATTAGAAATAAATAGACACATTGTTTGGTAAATATACATTAATTATCAAGGATAAAATAAAAAAAAAATTAATAAGTCATTAATTTTAATAAAATAATAATGGAAAAAAATGACAAATTATGACAAAACAACTATGAATAAAAAAGAAGGAGTAATATTTTGGTTCATATGAACGTGATTTGAAAAAAAAAAAAAAAGAAGTTAAAAACAGCTGGCATTATGATATGAGCATGTGCAGCAAGAAACGAACGCAGCGCCGTTCCCATCTTTACCATTACCCGTGGATAAATTGAACTGAAATCATAAAAGTTGTATTGAATTTAAAAGGAGTTTCTTAAATTAATCTTTAGATTAGTTTAGATAAACTGAATTGGATTTTATTTTTATCATTAAATTTAACTAAACTGTATTATAAAAATTTGAAAAGAATTACAATTTGAAAGCTGTTATAATTCTTGGTTGACGTATGAAAATAGGACACATTTTTCAACTTTATTTTATTTTTAAATTTATTTAAAATTTTCAAAGAAAAAAAATATAAAATGGAGTAAAAAAAATTGATAAATTTTAAGTCTAAAAATTAATCGTCCAGTTTAGATTTGACAAATTTAGACAATTTTTTTAGTTCACTTATTTGTTTTTCAAAATCTAGATGGTTGAATTATTGACCTAACTCATTAAGATAGAATATACTAAACGTATTTAATTTTCACTCTCTCATAAAAACACTTCAATTTTTATAGTTGAATGTAGTTTTTAGAATTGAGTAGAGTTTAATTTTCAAACAATCAGCGCAGTTGATTTTTATATAATAAAAAAAAAGATTTATGTTGTTATAGTGAATTTAGCATTAGTTTAGGTCAATTATTTATGCGGACCTCTGTAACGCAACACTACTACCTAGGTCGTAGCCTTCCCCGATACAAGATACACATTCATGGTCTGCCTCTAAATGGTGAATGCATGCATCTTTTGCATTTCCATGCTTCATCACTACAGTACTTATGAACCTGCTACTTCTTCTGCTTCTGCATATGCATATGCATATGCAGGCACCACTCCAACTCTGTTTTGACTTCTCACTTCTCACAACCAAACCCGACACATATTCCTACCAACTCTCATCGTACAACACATATCTATAAACTATTGTTACATACCGCCATCTACCGTACATTATACATTATATAAAAAATTTCAAACTCCTTTTCCTTTTCCGTAATTATAAAAAAACCAAGTCCAACCCTTAAAAGATTCCATTCTAAAACCCTCCAAATCAAAATTGCATCTGCATCTCTGTAGCAATTAAATAAATTACAAACACCAACGTTGTCTTTACATTTTCAAGTTTCAACCAAATCCTCCTCCTCTACTTGGATTCATTCCATTACTGTTGGCCGTTTCCACCACGCTCCCTTCATCCCACTGCACGTCATTTCATACCCCGCCTCGCACGTCGTCGTTTTTTTTATTCTTTCATGGAGATGGAGCGTCCATGGTTCAGGTTGACATTCAATGCAACTAGAACCGCACGAGGGAACTTGAAAATTGAAATTCAGGAGCAAAGTGCAAAAAACGAATGGATGTCTAGTAGTACTTGATAATAATAATAATAATAATAATACATTTAATACTATGTACTGAGGGGGTAAAAACAAGAAGGAAAAAAATGGCAGTGGTAATGGGAGGCGTTGATTGCGGTGTAGTGGAATTTTAGAATATTAGAAACGCTGAGAAACAGAAACGTGGCGTCTTCTGATGTGAGGGGAAACAATGGAGATGAGGCCACCCAGTGGGGGCCTCATCTTTGACCTATAAACCATTTCGTCGTACGGTCTTCGGTAGAACTTCACGTACGCCAAGAACGATTCCCGGCACCTCTCTCCCCTGCTGCTCACCTGGCTCTCTCGCCGGAAGAACGTCGCCGGCGACTGCAGGAAGGAGGTCCGCGGTGGCGCCGTCACGCGCTGCGGCAGCGGGGGCGGGGGAAACAAGCCCCTC